GCCCGTGAGAAAAGTCGGGAGACCTAAGTGCTGTGTGGAAATGGGAGCTGGGTGCTGAGCAGTAGCCCTAGACCCACGGGACCAAAGCCTCCGAGATAGTGGAGGCAGAACCTGATGGTTCAGGTAGGTTCTCTGAAAAGTTGTGGCCACTTCTTTATCACCGATGAGGACAGAGCTGAGTGGAGAATCACAGAAGCAACTGGCATAGCCACGTATTTCTGGGCATTTCTCAGGTGGCCATAGGAGTCTAAGAAGGAACAGAGGCAAGAAGGAAACCAGGGGGTGACTCTGAGCTGCACAGAGGAGCCAAAGAGCAAAGTCGCGGTGCATCATGTGTCAGTGGTCACTTCTGTGTGAGGCCAGCGCGAGCCCCGGTGAGCCAATCCTCCCTGTTAGTGAACGGCGAACCAGGCCACGGACCTCAGAATGCCAGGTGGGGAGGGTTTGTCTGTGTGTCTGAGGGGAGTGTGACGGTCAGTACTGCCCCATAATGAACATCAGCCTCCTAAGACACCGCAGGACGGCAAAATACCAGAGAAAAAGAAGGAAGAGAAAGTTGGTTGAGGGTGAAAGGGCTTTACCTGATGCTATGGAGGAAGAGTCTTCATAGATGACCCCTAGGACATAAAACACAGATGAAAGGACAATTTCACTGCCAGTCTTTCAGGGCTCACAGGTGGCCCTCAAGGAAAAGTCATTCCTAATCCCTACTTCAACTTCCCCGAGTGCAGTCTCTAGAGTCCTCATCCACTCTCCGTGATCATCTCCTTGCAAAGGAAAGCAGGTCTGAGGGGAGGCAGGGCAGTTACTGCATGGACTCTCTACCTCTTCTCCCCACAACTGTATCAGTTCTCCTGTTGTCCTCCCTAGAATCCCTCAAACCTCCCTGCTGTTTACTGTTTATTATTCTAGTCATTTCCATATCACGTTTCTTGGTGGTTTGCCCTCTTCCTTCATTAAATCGTTGGCTGACATCAATGTCCTCCCTCCAGACGGGAAACCAGCCTGAAGCAGTTGTGGACAGAGTTGCACGACTCCTCCCTGCACTTTGATTATTCCGTGTGGTGGAGAGAAATCTTGGAAAATGGTCCCCAATGTTTTGCTGTCAGTACAGTAGTACTCAAATCTGTTATCCACATCAGTGTCTTTGAAATGACTCTTCGGTGTGTTTCTCTCTATGGAGTGTCCTAAAATCCCTTGGCAGAAAGTCTCCCAGCACCTACCCAGATTCAAGTCATGTCCTCACAGCTGGGCTCCCACGATGGATCCTCCCAGCTTCCCACCATCCTTCCCAGC